TACACAAGCTCTATTTCAATAAATTGAAAGGCATGTAGTAGTGGATAAAGCAGGATTGTGCAGAAAAAAATTAAATTATATAAATACAGTCTTATTCAGTGGCAGAGTTAAATAGCACTTCCAAACTAATGACAATTAAAACAGCTAAGATTCTTAAGCAACAGATAGCTGGTTTTAATCTGGGGGAAAAAAAAATATATCTGAAAGTGCACAGAATTAGAGAGATTAATTTGCTTATCGGGAAATGATGCCTATACTCTTTGACTTCTCCTTTAAACACTACTTTAGCTCATGCATTAAGTTTACCTATAAGACTGGACTATATGTAGTTTTGCCACCCATACTTTCACTCACACTTTGGTACCCCTTCCCTATAAATACATCATTTTCTGGAGGAGAAAGACTGAGGGAAAAAAACAAACCAACCAAAACATTTATAAGTTAAAAAACCCAAACAGCCCAAGAGACTGTGAATGTCTGCAGCTTGTACTCATCTGAAACTGACCAGTTTTCTAAGGAGATCAAGCTTTTCTATACCTCTATCAACTTCTATTATATAGAAACAAGTTTGCTAGCACTGACAGAAACCAAATTAAAAAAAAAAAAAAACACAAAAATGAACAGATCACTTTTCAGTTCAAGAAGTTTTCTCCACAGACTAAGTTTTGCACTACAGCTTCTGCCACAACCACAGTCTTGTACGGTGCACTGAATAATATTACAAAAAAATTACTACATACCTCAGACTGTGTTTTGGGAAAGGACAGGTAACTGAAACAAAGGGGAAGGAACAGACATGAAGCTAGAGTAGTTTTCCTGGTACCACAAGGTCAGAACAAAAAGCTTGTCTGTATACAAGGAACAAGAAAGAGAAATGAGAGCCTAGAAAAACAGAAACAGGAGAACTGACAAACCAAGAAAAAGTAAGGAAATGAATGCACTATAGTGGGTAGTAAAATGAGAAAATGAACAACCAAAAAAATCCATGGAAGTGGAACCAGAAAGAAAATCCTAATCAAGCCAAAGAACTCTAGGTAGAAAAAGAAGGCCTAACAAATCCAAGAAGCATTACTTGTAATTTATGAATTAAACTCAGTCACCTGGCAGTGTTACAAGTCAGTAGAATACTCAGGTGTTATATTCATTTAATTTGCAGTGGTTCTTGGGGTCACTGTAGCAACATGCTCTTAATGCTGACTGCCAAACAGTACTGTAAATGTTTCAAGTCTAGAAAATGTTATGGTTAAAAGGCAGAGGGAATATAGAAACATAGAATCATTTGGGTTGGAAAAGACCTTTAAGATATTGGAGTTGATCTCAAAGAGTTGAAGAATAGTTTACACACTCAAATGCAGACCTTGCACTACGGACGAGTGTAAAAATATGCTTTGAATCCTCCCTTCAAAGACATCTATGGCCTTTTCCGAATTATTGCATTCTAGGAATTACCTAGTAAGAATGAAAAGTCAGTGCAATAACTCTTAACCAAATCACTGCAAGGTGCGGTAGAACAGATATGCAGTGGCCTGCTCTTCATTACATATAGAAGTTATTTCACATCCTTCTCATGTGCCACTGCACATGTAGCTACCATGCTACCTAAAGACAAGAAAAGGGTTACCAGTCCCTGATTTTTCCACATGGTCTGATCCCAAACCAGAAGACATGGTAAGATTCCGAATCATCCTTATTCCCATTATTAATGCAACCCACCTCCCAAGAGATAGCAATGCTTTGTTTAAATGGTAAGATGCTAGTAGGGAGTACCGACTCCACCATACACTTGTAGACTTGTGTGAAATATGCACACTTGCACAAGTCTAAGTAGGCAAACATTATTTTGATTGCTTTGCTTCTGGTATTCACTTCTGAGAAAGCCTGACCTGTCTTCTACCTGTCTTTAAATGCCACGGTAAGCCACAATGTCTTTTAATGAATAAGAATGGCAGCAAGTTCAATTACTTGTAGTAGAGTGTGATAAAGAAAGTTGATTGCAAAGATAATTAGATAACCAAATCATATGAACATTCATTCTGTTGGTTTTCGCAGGAAGACCAATCACAGGTTTCACAGGTTTCTTGGAGAATTTAAATTGATCTAAGGGCTGCAGTGAGCAGAGACAATCATCTAATTCCCCACTCATGTTTTCACAGCTCCACCTGCAGTGACTAACAACTGCAAGGCAGAAGAATAATTTACTATGCAGTTCACACACAACAATTGCTACACCACGAAGGAGGTGCAGAAATGTGCTGCCGAGGATGGTACTGCACTTCTGGCAACAGTCCTGAGTTTGAACAACTTTAGCTAACAGGGAAACACTAAGAGCAGGGAAGAGTGGTATCAACAGGAACAATCAAAACACTTTTTTTTTTTTTACCCTTTTCTCTCTGCATCACAGTATCAAAAATGCTGCCTCTTACTGTAATGTAAAAGTACCATCCACAGACCTGAAAAGATTGACCCTATTTTCACATGGTGAAAGGAGGTGAAAAAAAGTCTCAGATGTAGTCTTCCATAAAGACTGTATAGCACAAAAGGAAATTTAAAGTACAAATTATATACAATGGTCAAAATCAGAAAAAAAAAAAATAAAAAACAAAGGCAAGAGTGCAATTCTGTGCAACAGTTAGTAAGTGAAAAATAAAAGAATTAAAAACTGTACCTTGAAAGAACCGCTGTAGGCATACTTTTATTACATAACTAACTCTCATCCTCACATTTTGACAAATATTATGTTTAATCAGGATATCCTTTAAAAGAAAGTTGACCTAAACACACTTGTGCTTATCTCTTAATACCTCCAGAGGTGCTTCAGCTAGCACAAGATTAGTTCGGCAGAAAACTTCATAAATACTCCCTGGTAGGACCCAGCATACTTATCTGCTTATCTTCCTCCACAGAGTACCTAAGCAGATTGATTTCTTAACTATAGACCACATCAAGTAAACAGTAATTTCACAACTGGTATGGAAATTATGAGACTGATTTGTATTTTGTTATTTTCATGTTTCTAATTGTGACAAATAATTCCCATTTTTTATTATATTGGATATTAACAGTAAAGAAGTTTGCTCAGTGAACAGCAAGCTCATAAGGAGGAATCACTTCAGTCATACAAAGCTTACATTAGGTATTCTTCACAAGCACATAACTCAAAGTGGGTTAAAAACAGATATTGATGAAGAAACTACAGGAAAAAGTAAGCTATGCAATTCTACTCTATGTAGAATATAAATCCAGAAAAGACTCGTGAGTGAGAAACTTAAAGATAATAATGTGCAAATGGTTGATGTCTCTAAGAGTTTAAGCATCTTCTTCTGGAACTCAGAAGCCTTGTTAAACCTGAAGATTTAATCCAGTACTGAAGTAGCTGAATTTAACTTACAAATACAAATCTCTGATGCCTTTTAGCACTGTTGCAGTGGGAGTCTCTATAAGGAGGCAGATGAACAAGAACACTCTTGTATAAATGTTGATTAATCAAAAAGAAAATAGTATTAGGAAGTCAGAAATTTGGCCACAATGCTTTGAGTCATCAGGAAGAAAAAAAGTCTTCTGTTTCAGAATTCCTTGATTTCAAGAACAGCTAAGATTCTGTAGGTCACAGAGATATAGGACGCACTTTAAATTAATAATATCTACATCTTTGCATGAAGTTAGAAGCAATGTCTTTAGTGATCATTTCCATTTTCATGTATGCATATTGTTATGGTGAAAAGAAAAAAAAAAAAAAAAAAAAGTACTTTACCAACATTAGGTATAGTTAATTTCCTGGGATAGTTGACCCACCATGGTCAAACTTCCCAGGATCTGGGTTTTGGAATAGCAATAGGCACAGGAAACAGTACCAGCAATCACGTTTGCACTTAAAAAGTAGTAAGAGAAGTTGGCAGTACATATAATGAACCTGGTTTTATTACTTAGTTTCAAGTTAAGAAACTTTATCAAAACGTATGACAAAAGTCAGTGTACATCATACTATCCCAACAACAGGATCACAATATTTCAAACTTGCTAGAAATAATTTTATCTTCTGAGGACCACATAGTGTATAAATTTTATCACCAACAATGTACCATGTACTTAAGACCTTCAGTCCAGTCTATAAAAACACATTTAAGACTACATGAATAATCACTCTGATTATTGATTAACCTTGCAGAATAGAAGTCAGTCAATTCACTTCCACATACACAGATCTATGAGGCACCAGCGACATGCCAAACAGCAGCACCCCCACGTTTTTTCTACCACAACCACCTGCCAGACTTGAGGTACAAAACCTGTTTCCACGTGAAACTGCAGCCTTCAAAAACTCACCACGACCCTCACTCACTGTTGAGAAAGCAGCGTGTCAAAGAGATTTTCAACAGATTAAAAAGGGTAACTCTATACTAAGATTAAAAACCTGCCGACAGGCCGCATCCGAGGGGCAAGAGCCCGCCCCCCCCCCCCCCCCCCCCCCCAAACCCCTCAGGGCCGCGGCTGTTCCATGAGAGTAGCCTCAGCCCCGCGGTGCAGCGCCCAGAGCATCCCCACCCGCAGCCGGGACCCACGCTCCGCTTCCACCCCAGCGCTGGACGGCTGACATCACAGCCCTCCGGAGAGGAGGGTCTGCCACCAGCATCGGTGTGGAAATATTCGCCCCCAAACCCCACTGAAGGGGAGAGGGGAGAGAGAGGTGAGCGGATGCGCGAGAGAAAAGGAGCGCAAAAAATGAGGAGAAAAAGAACCCCCCCAAAAAAAGAGAAACCCGCCCGCCCCGGTTACCACAGAGTTCTCCGCGAACGCTCCCAGTGGGTCCCTCAGGTCCAGGCCAGTAACGGCTGCCGGTTCCCTCCTTCCAAGTGTGCCCGGCGGAGCAGCCCGCGGCGATATCCCCAGCCCGAGCCCGAGGGTTCCGCGACACCCACCTTTCCCCTCGCCCTGCTCCCTCCGCCGGGGGCGGTGGGTACCTCCCCCGGCCCCGGCCCCGGCCCCGGCCCCCGCCCGCCTACCTCCGGGCACGGCAGTCCGCTGCTCTCAGGACGGCGCCCTCAGAGCGCCGCCGCTCGCCGTTATAAACCACCTCCGCGACCCGGGCCCCGCAGCGGCGGCAGGTACTTACCGTCCCCTGGACCAATCAGCGGGAGCGGTGGGCCGGCCGGGGGCGGGGAGCCCGCGGGAAGCGCGGAGGAGCGGGACGTCTCCCACCTCCCGCCCCTTCATGCGCCCTGAGGGGGGGCGCCGGTGGCTCAGTCCCGCGGTTTCTCTGGGTGTGGGTGTGGGCGTGGGTGTCCGCCTCCTCCCGCCCTTGCGGCCCGTTACGTGGCCGTGGGGAGCAGCGGGCGGGCCGGCGGCTGGCGGCGGGGCCCCGGCACCCGCCGTCCCTCAGGTGCCTCGGCGCCCTCCCGCCCTGTGGGCCCTCGCCCCGCAGCGGGCCTGGGAGGACCCCGGCGAGACCGCTGTGGGCCTCCCCCGAGCTGGGTGCTGGTAGCTTGCCCCCTGTAAAGTCGCATCGCAGCGGACAGCGAAGTCTTGTTATGTTACAGCCAGTGATGGGAGGTGTAAATTCACTGGGCCACAGGAAGGAGAGAGGGGGAGAGGACAAGAAAAGTTTGTGTGAGGCCTGCGGAGCTGGATGGGACGCTTGAGTTATGCACGGCCCTGGCTGGTAACTAACACAGAATCACAGAGTGGTTTCAGTTGGAGAGGAATTTAAAGATCATCTAGCCCCAACCCGCCTGCCACGGGCAGGGACACTTTCCACTAAATCGGGTTGCTCCCAGCCCCGTCCCACCTGGCCTGGAACCCTTCCAGGGGGAGGGGCAGCCACAGCTTCTCCGGGCACCCTCTGCCAGTGCCTCACCACCCAGACAGGGAAGAATTTCATCTTTACATCTAATCTCAATCTACATTCTTTCAGTCTGCAACCATTACCCCTCATCCTATCGCGACACTCCCTGATCAAGAGTCTCCCCCCATTTTTCCGCTAGCCTCCTTTAAGCACTGGAAGGCTGCTATAAGGTCTCCCCGGAGCCTCCTCCTCTCCAGGCTGAACCCCCCCAACTCTCTCAGCCTGTCCTCACAGGGAGCAGCTCCAGCCCCCCCAAACATCTTCGTGGCCTCCTCTGGACCCACTCGAGCAGTTCCGTGTCCTTCTGCTGTTGGGGGCTCCAGACCTGAGCATAGCAATGCAGGGGGGGGGTCTCATGACAATGAGACAGAGGGGGAGAATCCCCTCCCTGGCCCTGCTGGCCACGCTTCTCTTGATGCAGCCCAGGACATGGTTGGCTTTCTGGGCTGCGAGCGCACTTTGCTGGCACACAGTCAGTTTTCCATCCATTAGTACCCCCAAGTCCTTCTCTGCAGGGCTGCTCTCAATCCACCCCTCACCCAGCCTGGATTTGTGCTTGGGATTGCCTCGACCCATGGGCAGGACCCTGCACTTGGCCTTGTTGAACTCCATGAGGTTGGCACGGGCCCACCTCTCCAGCCTGTCCAGGTCTCTCTGCATGGCATCCCTTCCCTCCAGCGTGTCACCGCAACACTCAGCTTGGGGTTGTCAGCAAACTTGAGGAGGGTGCACTCAATCTCACAGTTCGTGTTGCCAACAGAAATGTTAGACAGTGTTTGTCCCAGCACAGCCCCCTGAGGAATACCACCTAGCACTGCTCTCCACTTGGACATCTGACATTTGAGTACAACCCTCCAGCCAATTCCTTATCCACCGAGTGGTCCATTCATCAAATCCATGTCTCCCATGAGGACCAGGTTTGTGAACATGAGTCTGCTCCTACCTGTCTATAGAGGGCCTCATCTGCTCCGTCTTCCTGGTCAGGTAGCCTGTAGCAGACCCCCACTATAATGTCTCCTGTCCCTGCCTTCCCTTTAATCCTCACCCATAAGTTCTGTGTTGGCTCCTCCTCCATCCCCAGGCAGAGCTCCATGCACTCCGGCTGGTCACTGACATAGCGGGTGATCCTCCCTCCTCACCCCCCCTGCCTGTCCTTCCTAAAGAGCCTGTATCCTTCCATCCCAACACTGCGGTCATAGGAGCCATCCCACCACATCTCCGTGATGCCAATAAGTTCAGGCACGTGCACCTCTCTTCCTCATGGTGTTCATTCCCCATGCTATGTGCATTTGCATGGAGGCATTTAAACGGTGTCCCTGATGAAGCTGACTTTCTGGCTGGAATCCCTCTGTCAACCCCCAGCGAGGCCAGTCGTCTAAGTAGCTGAAGCCCTGGCTGTGGCACCAGTCCATAACCATTTGTTGATTTTCCACATTCAGCTGGTCCTTTCAAACCCCTTCCCTTTGAATGGGAGGGTTGAAAAAACTACCTGTGCTCCAGAGTGCCTCACCACTGCTCCCAGGGCTCTGTAGTCCTTGATACTCCTCAGACTGCTGCTGGTTGTATCACTGGTGACCTTGTGAAACAACAGCAGCAGATAACAGTCAGTGGACTGTACGAGGCTCAGCAGCCTCTCGATGACACCCCTGACACAAGCCCCCGGCACCCAGAACACCTCTCTGGAGAGTGCACCAGGTTGGCAGATGGTGCCTCTGCACCTCTCAGAAGAGAGTCGCCCACCATTATCACCCATCGCCTTTCCTTAGTTGCACTGGTTGTTATGTGGGGAGCAGATTGGGCTGCCTCACTGAGCTTCAGCATCTCTCCTGATGTGACAACTCTTTCCTCTTCAATCTGCAGAGTGGTGAAACTGTTATCCAAGGGCACCTCAGGCTTTGGGGGAAGTCTCTTCCACCTGCAGGTCCTTGATGCCACAAGCTTCCATTCTTCTGCATTACTGGCCCTGCTCCCTTCTGCGTGTGCCGGTGGGGGAATTTTTGGCCATGTGGCCACGGGGCCCCACTGCAGACTGCACCTGGAACCATCTCCCCAACTCCTCCTCAGCCTCCCTGATGCCACGCAGCCTTCTCTCCACCTCCCACCGCCCAGCCAGCCGTGGCAGGAGTTCCTCCCCCCGGGCACAGCTTCTGCAGGCAGCTCTGCCACCCGTCCCTGCCCCAGGAGAAGGGTCCGGGCGCCCGCTGCAGCCCCAGGCCTGCGCCGCGGCCTCTGCCTTCAGCAGCTCTGTCTGGGTGGAGGCGTCGGCCACGGCCGGGGGGGGTGGTGTGGCCCCCCGGCCAGGGCTGACACCTTGGCTTTCAGAGGAGAGACATGTACCTGAGGTGGCTGTGTTCAGGATCAAATGAGTTGCTTCTGCATCCTGTTTCCTAGAGGTAGGAGCCCAAGGGGTGGGAGGTACTGTGGAGAGACCAGGCAGCTACCAGATGAGGCATCTGCGTGCCATGACACTGGAAGGAAATATGTTACTCTAGTTTGTGTCCCATGTAGTACGGACCTTAAGGACCACCCTGAACTAACTCCTTTTCTGGGCTGTGGCATTAAAGAAATGTGTAGCCTCAATCAAATGGATGAGAGTCCCAAGACAATTTTTGGCATTATCTACATCCTGTGACTCTGACAGACTTCGGGGGGAAATATAGACCTGCCACAGTGTTTGGGATAAAGGTCGTTTTGTATTGTGTCTCTGTAGAAATATGAGGTATGGATGTTTCTTGTATCACTCTTGACATGAGTCATGTAAGAACACGGGAGAAGAGGCAGCTTCAGTTCAAACAAGTTGAAAATTCAGCGTGAGATGCCAGTGTTTCACAAGATATGCAAGTTACAAGTGTGATAATGATGGGAAGTATGTGCATGTGAGTGTAAGAGGGGGAAAGTGGGTAGGGAGAGGTATCACTGGTCTCTGCTAAACCCCTGCCTGGAACAGGAAGGATTAATGTGTACAAGAGCTGTCTTCATTTTAAGTGTGGCAGATTGTGACAGTTGCTTATTTGACTGATGCACAAAATCACCTGAAAATAAAACTTAAAAGGTAGAAAGATCAGATAATATTAGAAGAGGGACAAATCCATATGCTTTCAGAAGTCATTTGCAGGTTGGTGCCCTTGTAATGTGAAACCTTTGACAAAAGTGGGAAAAGGCTTGTATTTTTATTTGTTCTGTGACTAATACAATCACAGTACATGAAATCATCCTTTACAGGAAGCAATGGGATTTGTTATATATTTTCATCTCCTGGAGTTCACTTGGTGCAAGGCTTGGCCTGGCACACAGGCTTTTGAGGATTATAATTTCCAATCCTGTCTCCCTTCAAGTAATTAAAACATATTTGGCAAGTGAACTGCAAGCACTTCCTGACATGATACCTATCACCTGTGTCCTATCACCTGCCAATGGGTATTTTAATTGAATGTGACAGAAAGTCTTTCGAGCCCTGCTATAGGGAGAGCAAGTGGAATGACTGAAGAAGAAGCTGGTAGGCAGCAAGTTCTTCAAGTACTTGGCCTCATTCCTGTCTGTATCAAGAAGTGCCTAGGAAAATGAGTGCTTTGGAGTTCATGGAACATACACACCAAAATGGGGGACTGGGTTTGATCAAAGGCTGTAAGTTGAGAGTCCTGTTATCTAAAAATAGAATTAAACTTTTTCAGCTGAAGGTTATGAGGTCTATAGGAGCAAGACACTGCTGTCTCTCATCCTTTTTCTCCTTTTTTTTTTCTCCCAAACATGGTACCATATTGGTCTGTCTTTGCTATCACAGCTGCCAGTGTGGCCAGCCCATACACTGTACTGGAGAATTAATCTGCATTTAAAAAAATACTTTTTTTTTTTAACTAGGAAATGTGTCAACCGGGTTGGTCCCCTAATCCAAGTCAAAAAGTGTGTCTGTATGCTGTATCTCTAGTTTAGGACTGTTAGGGCAGGAGGTAAGAAAAGCATCGAATAGAGAGAAGGAAATTTCATTTCCCCTGTGTACTCTAAGTTTTTGTGGTTTGATAGCACAACCTCATACATCCTTTAAATTCAGCCTGAATTTTCCAATCTGGCAGAAGTTGCAGACCGAGGTGGAGATTATGGGAAAGTTGTGGTTTCATATGGTTTCCACTTTAGATCAGTTTTTGGTTTCAAGGTTATCATCACCTGTGAAAAAAATGAGGTTATGAGTGTATTGTTTGATTTAATTGGTCAATTTCCAAGATTAAGTTTTTGAAAACAGTAGATTTTGTTAAGCATAAAGGAGTGTTTAAAAGTTTGCTTTTCTATTCCCCCATGAGGACAAATCACCATCATCAAAAAATGCCACCAAGCATATTGACAGCTGAGATAAGATTAGAAATACTTTGGTGAGTATTCATTTGAAAAAAAATGAATACTCACCAGACTCAAAATCAATTACATTTGCATCATTTTTGATGATAAAAAGAGGGGAGAATATATATAAAAATATATATTATATATGATAAATATATTCTAATATACACAGACCTATGAGAATATACTAATATATTCATTATTTTCAATATATTATATATTACATATGTTAGTAATTATATATTTTAATATATATAAATAAAATTAATTAATTTTTAATCCTTTGAAAGATCTTTTCTTTAGAGACCAGATTGTGAAAAATATCTTACAGTTTCACCCTTTCACACACATGTTTCTTGTTAGAAGCTAAATATATAATGTAATTTAAAAATACTATGAGGATTCTCCTGTAATTGGTCTGCATACTATAAAAATAGGAATAAGTGAGTTTCACCAATAATCTAGACTGTGCTGCTGTTGAAGAACGCTTTTAAATTAATTTTCAACTACAGTTCACAAAACTAATAGAAATTTTGATAGATTGTTATGATAGAAAAATAAATAAATCCTTTGTGATAGGGCCTGCAAGCTGCTTGCTAACACATGCAGAGAACTACAGAAAGGAAGAAAAATGTAAACATTGCCTTCCTGTGAGGGAATAAGTGAAAGGAGGAGAGATAGATAAAGGCAATGCATGAGAAAACACTTCTAGCAAGCAAACTTGGGCTCTAAGAATTTTATTCCTACCTTCACTGTGGCAATTTTAGTGTGATTGTTTGTTTGTTTTTCTTTTTAATTGGTCCACTTATTTTACTCATTCTTTTATTCTCTCCTTGGTTCCCTGATTCAGTGTGTCTCTTTCTCTCCTTTTCCAATTTCTTTAAATTGCATTCTTCTTGATCCATGTTAAATTCATGTTTCTTGCAACTTTCAGGAAGTCGGTGGAGTTGTACTGTCTATAAACTAGGTGTGATTGGGTTGAATGCTGTGTTTCAGCTGCTTCTTTTATAAGAACATATAAACTGAATGATGGTCTCGTTTACTTTAAAGAGGTATATGGTGTAATTTAATTCAGTAGAACTTCAAGCAAGAACAGAGGTCTGTATGCGCAGAGCCAATTACAGCATCAGGCCCTGGGTGCACAATAATTAGCCTACTTAGCATACAAATATGATAAGACAGACAAAATCAGTCAGTGTGATCTATTCTAAACAGATTGTTTATTTGTCTTCAGCAATGCAACATTTTATTGAAAATTACTTGTCTTTGAGGTTATTCATATCAGGTTTAAAGAAACTAACACCTACCATATTATTCTCATTCATATCTTATTGATGTTCCTATTGTCCATATTACTAATACTTTCCTGTATTATATTAAAAACAAAACAAACCCACAAAACAAAACAAAACAAAACACCAAACCTGGTCTGGTTTTATGTTTTGAGGTTTTGTTCTGTCAAACCTGTTGTACAAATCTGTTTTGGAATTTAGCCAATCTGTTTACCACAGAAAAAAACTTTTAATAGATTCTCAACACTGAGAATACTTTCTCCATTCTGATTCAGTCAGTTCTTAATGCTTGCCACAAAATCAGTATGTAGTCCTGAAGTCATATTGTTACCATGTGCTGTAATCAGAATGCAACATTCTGTGTACACTGATTCAATACCAAGAGGGAATGTAGAACCCTCAATCTCAGACCTCTGCATTTCTTCACTGGGTCTGATCTGGCATGACTACTTACCATTCTGTGTTTTAGTTTGCAATTCTATAAGACAGAAATTATACTTATTATGAAACTCAGGGAAAGAAATTTGAGAAAGATTATGTTCAAACTTTTCAGTGAACAATTTAAAACCACCTTTGCTCTTTTCTTGCCAGGTTAACAAGTAAAGAAATATGACTTTTCATCTTTTCCCCAACATCTACTGTTAAGTCATTTTAAACAATATATGTGAGTACTGTGAATTGTCAGCTTTCATGACTATCTTCCAAATTGTACTGCCATCGCAATAAATCAATAGTTTAGACATCTTTGTTACAATTGCTTCTTATTTTTGCCATCCAGGCATATCAAGTAATTCCTGTGTGAGTGCTAATTCATTGCAACAAACTCATTACCATATGGTTTTAAAAATTATTTTAAAAAAAAAGTCATTAGTATTTGGAAGCTAAAATGTCTTCTAAACTGCTTTGAATTTAATGGGAAAATATGCTATTCTCCATTTTATTTATCTCCTATTTACTCAGAATAATTTGATACATTGTTGTCTTTCATGTAATTTTTCTGTTAAAACTTCTCAGTTCTTTGTAAAATGTTATGTGTACATAGTCAGATGTGCTATGTTTCTGGGAATGCAATACAATACAACTTCTAGTGGGAACTTATTTGTTTAGTTTCCTGGGGGAAAAAAAAAAAAAAAAAAAAAAAAAAAAAACCGAAAACCAAAAAAACAGAGATTCCTTACCAGGGTTGTCCTCAGCTGGGACATTCAGCTTTGCTCCAACATGACAACAGAAGGCCTTCACTAGCAACCATAGCTCAGGAAGTAACAGTCCTAATTAAACCTTACACTTTACTGCAACTTGCCAGCTTCTCAGCTGTTCTGACCCAACTACTTGTAAGGTCATTACACAAACCAGATTTTAAAAAGTAACCTGCTCCTCCACCTTTTTGTTGGGGTTAGTCCAGCTGGTCTGGGGACAGCGATTTCCAGTAGGGGGGCAGAACAGACGTCTGGAGAGAGCAGCCACAGGTTTCCATGTCCAACCCCTGCCTGCCTTACCACGCACTGCTATGGCTGGCAGCTCCTGGTGGGGTATGGACTCTCCATGAGACTGCCCACTGCACCCTGGCTCAGCAATACAACTTGCATCTTTGACTCTGCTGTTGCTTCTGGAGAGGAACTGAACAAGACACTTCCTCTGAGCAAACCAATTCCTTTGAATGAGCCACTCAAAGTGACAGGTAGACATGCAATTTACCATTCTGTGTCTTTCACACAGGGGCCTGATGCATTGCAGAAACTGGGTGCAGAATCTTGGCAGAATTTTGCTGACAGTGAAGAAAAGGGAGATATTGTTTTACTAGGCTACTAAAAGCTGTGTTTAACAAAATGCTAAGTTTAATTCAGACTGAAATCACTATGTGGCCACAGTTCAAGAGCAGCTATTTATTCATGTTTTTTTCCTGACAGATAAACTCGACAAATTTCTGTTCAGCTAGTAAGTGTGTGAATGTGTTAAGATATATGTACTATTGCAATAGTCATACATTAGGTTACTACTAAGGAATTTAGTTACAGCAGCTTCACTACAGAGTCTGAAATATCCTCACATGGGGAAAATGTTATTGTACTTAGGACTTGGCTACCATTCAAGGTTAGGATTCATCTCTTGAATTCAATGCCGAATGATTATAAGACCACAATAAACCTAAACAGAATTTGTTGACAAAAGGGAACAAGTTAATATTTGTGTCTCTCTCTCTAGTGGAATTGCTAACATAATGAACTAACTAGATAATCAGTGATGGAAACAATGTAGCTAACCTGGTATCTATAGCCTAAAGTGGAGTGCATTGCATTAACTCAGTCCAGGGCTGTGACTATCTATAGTTACTTTGCAAAGATCCAAGTCACAGAAGGTGGCAAAAGATCAGGTGAGAACAGTAAAAGGCTTTGGCAGTTTGGATGTAAAGAGTGCTAATGTGTGATATTTAGGAATGGCAGAAATTGAAATATATTTTATCTGTGCCTGTTGATACTAACGTTTAAGTTGATATCAAAGCATAAAGTAAACTTTGAAGCAAGATCTAGCAAACATGGGATGTAAAATTATGCTGCAAAATTTGTGCAAGTAAATAGAACTGCCAGGATATGTAAAATTGTGAACATATCAACCCCCGGTGAGGTAAATAAAATCTGGTTTTAAAGTAAATATCAGGCATTGGACAGTTCAGAAGAAACTCAGAATGTCACTCCAAATCCAGGTTTAAGCTCAGAGGCGGCCCTTTAAATCACAGAGCAGAGGGGAAGGAGACAGAATACAGGCACTGAGTAAGATCAGGACTTGCTTTTTTGCCTCCCTGGATAGCTGTTTTTCATTGCTGATAAGAAGGTCCAAACCCTCCTTGTTGTGTCTGGCTGTTCTGAGATACATTTCACTCTGTGAGAGAAAAAAAAAAAAAAAAAGCAACAAAAAAAAAACCCCAAAACATTACTAGTATCCATCCACTGAGTACGACAGCAAAGATTTAATTCTTAGACCTTTTCATTACCCTTCTCCCAGGATCCAATCAGTATGAATCCTGGGTGTGTGTGTAATACATTGCTAATCTGGAACCTGTTTTGAGGGTGCATTTAAAATTGTGTCATGTTCTCAGTCTAATTCATAAAACAGCCCCGGAAATGGTCAATGAAAATTATCCATTGTTTCTCACTGCATTTTTATTATGCTGAGGTGAGTTACACACTGCCACCATTTACAAACCTATTTAAAGTTACTGGATGTGGCAGAGCAGAGAAGCATTCAAGGACTCTTATGAAGGAAGGCTTCCAGAGGCAGAAGATGCTGTTCAAATTGTAAGGACAAGTGGGATTCTCTTAGGAAGCCAAGTCTCTTTTCCATGGGATAGTCAGGTAGCAGCAAGAGGAGGCTTGCCTTCTCCCAGAAGAAGGTAAGAGGAGAGCAGCCACGAGGCAAGGCAGGCTGTGGCCTCAGCAGCAGGGTGCAGTCCCATGGCACCCAAGGCAGGTGAGCAGAGCAGAGTGGTGACTGCAGCAGGTCCTACTAACAGCCTGGTGAGCATCAAGCAAAGAGGAGGTAACATGCCAGGTCCAAGGTGAATGCAGTTGTGTTGGGTTTGTGTGTGGTGGGGTTTTGGTGGGGGGGGAGGGGTCACAGAGGTGGCTTCTGTAAGAAGCTGCTGGAAGCTCCCCTGGCTCCAAGTCAGACCCACCTCTGGCCAAGGCTGAGCCCATCAGCGATGGTGGATGCACCTCTGTGATAACATTTAAGAAGGGGAACCTGAGAGAATGAAGAGGGGGGGAAATACCTATGCAAACACTGAGGTCAGCTGAAGAAAAAAAGAGGTGAGGGAGGTGTGCCAGAGCAGACACTCCCCTGCAGGTGGTGGTGTGAGGGCAGACTGTGCCCCTGCCACCTGTGGAGGTTACTGATGGAGCCCACACCAGAGCAGGTGGCTGCACCCAAAGAAGTCCAGGACTCTGAGGGAAGCCCGCACTGGAGCAGTCTCTTTCTAGGAGGACTGCAGCCTGCAGGAGGGACCCATGCTGCGGCAGTTCATGAAGAGCTGCAGCTTGTGGTAGAGACTCATGTTGGAAGAAGTTTGTGGAGGACTATCTCCCATGGGAGGGATGCCACACTGGAGCAGGGGAAGAGTGTGAGGAGGCCTCCACCCAGAGGAGGAAGGAGCAGCAGAGATGACAGGTGATGAACTGGCTGCAACCCCTATCCCCATCCCCCTGTGCCACTTGGAGGGGAGGAGGTAGAGAAATTGGGAGCAAAGCTGAGCCTGGGAAGGAGGGAGAGGTGGGATAAAAATCTTTTTAAGATGTGGTTGTATTCCTCACTGTCCTACTCTCTTTGACTGGTAAATAGGTGTTGGTGGTATTCAAATTAAATTGATGTTCTCTCTTCCCAAGTCAAGTCTCTTTTGCCTATGACCATAATTGGTCAGTAAGGCTTCCCTGTCCTCTCAATCTCCAACCCGTTTGTTTTATTTTCTCCTCCCCATCCCACCACGGAGGAAGGAGTGAGTGAATGTCTGCATGGTGCTCTGTTGTCCTCTGGGCTTAAACCATGACACCAGGAAATCCAAACAACGATTAAAGTACAGAGCTAGGGGCAAGCATACCTAAGCTGTAGCTCAGGCAGGGACTGAAGGCCCAGGCATGAGATTAAATGAAGACTCCAGTCAAAGGGTGTAGGTGGAGGCTCTGGGAGAAGCTTGTCAGGCAACCAAGGCCTATTTGTTACCTAGGTTCCTGATAGGGACTTACTGAGTGTGAGCTCTCCCGTTGATTCTGTGTAGGTCAGAGACAGAAAGAAGATGGGATATCAAGGTGAAGAGAAGCCAGGAGAAAGGTGAAGTGATGAATGGCTGTTTGCAAGGAAGATAATGGTCAGAGCTTCCTTTGAGCAGAATGTCTGTTGAAAAAGCAGACATTGCTTTTGGATGAAGAAATAGTCCTAATTTTTCCTTTTTTTTTTTTTTTTTTTTTTTCCTAGTAGGATGCAGGGTGATGTGAACATCTTTTATTCAAAAATATCCCTCCAAGCCCGCTGGATAGCACCAAAACACTCCAACACATGTAGTCCATATTTTCCCCAGATGGAAGAGGTCTGAGTGTCATTTGCTTTGTATTCGAATAGTACTTACCTTCATGATGTAACTAATGAGAATATCTTGATACTATAATAAATCTGGTAATACTAATAAAACTCTGAATATTGGACATCATTCAGCCTAGGGTTTCTTAGTTGATTTGGTTGATGACTGAAGAGAAACATGTTGGGGTTTTTTCTATCTTTCCTGTTCTAAGCATCACTTTTCAGGACAGAGACTAATTTAATGCACTTACATCTTGACGTTCTGTGAACCAGATTTCTGGTACAGCATCTGTTCTGTTCAATAAAGTTACAAACAAATTGTGTGAAGATTTGTCATTCAGTGTTCAGATAACTGCTCTCTTTCTTTTGAGTACTCTTTCTTGAAGTCATGACATCTAAGTTTTCTCAATGTTTCTTCAACTGAGGCCACTGCCGTGTCTAATAATGGGGAAATGATTGCATCTTTTTCAAGGAGAAGACTTTGTATTTCTATGTCGCAGCAGCACCACACAGGTATAATAGATTTGTTACCTTGTCCAGGTGCCTTCCTGTTACAACCTGACATAACACGTGTGTAATAGATTTGTTAGCACCTTCAGGTGCCTTTCTGTTACAGTTTGACATAACAGTACCCTCTAGCGGTAAACTTTATTTATTTATAGTGTATTTGGAAGTGCCAGGGAAATGGCACAACTCCCAAGGTGGCCCATTAGCTGATAAATATTATAGGGGAATATCATCACACAACACCTTTTTTCTCTATGAAAAATTTCTTTGACATTCTTCCA